TTATAGAATGACGTACACTTCACCTATATCAACCATGTATAACATTGCTAAAATTTAGAAAAATAGCTCTGCAAGAGAAAAATGATTTGTGAATTGGAGATGAAAATATATAGGTAGCCGACAGTGGTGTTGAGGGGTGAGGGAGATATGGGACATCGCTGTTGCAGCAAACAGAAAATTAAGAGGGGGCTTTGGTCACCCGAAGAAGACGATAAGCTTATCAACCATATCACTGCCTATGGCCATGGCTGTTGGAGTTCTGTTGCCAAACTAGCAGGTACGTCGCCTATTTATTAGTTAAGCTTCTGATCGATGATCCTTTATACATAATAAAAATACTCTTCTTGGATGTGTAGGGCTGCAAAGGTGCGGGAAGAGTTGCAGATTACGGTGGATAAATTACTTGAGGCCGGATCTCAAAAGGGGTTCTTTCACTGAGCAAGAGGAGAGAACAATCATTGATGTGCATAGAATTTTAGGCAACAGATGGGCTCAAATAGCCAAACATTTGCCAGGAAGGACTGATAATGAAGTGAAGAATTTCTGGAATTCTTGCATTAAGAAAAAGCTTATTGCTCAAGGTTTAGATCCCAACACTCACAATCTCCTCTCTTCTAACAAAACCAACATACTCAAAAACAACATCAATGCAAGTAACTCTTTTCGACAAGAAACGCCAGCTTTTACTATGGATACTTCATCAAAAACTGCAGCATCTGATCTTTCAACTTTACTGCCTTGTATTAATATTCCAGAATACGATCATAATAACACCATACAGTATACTAGCGGTTCTGATCAATATCAAAATTCTGTGGTTGTTAGCACTCAGCATATAATTAGTCAAAGTGATCTTTCGGCTTTGGAGTTTGCCAACTGTTCTTCAATGGAAAGTAGCAATGTCATGTCCTCTTCTGGATTTGGAACCCTAAATGAGAGTTTCATGTGGGATGTTGGCGGCATCGGATTGCCAATTGAACAACAAAAAACAGGACAAGAAGCTGATGAAATTGTAATGGCGCCGCAGCGGCAGGAACAGAATATTAACGAGCTAAACAGTAGTAATCATCTGCAGAATGTGGCCGAGGATACTTTTGACAGCACTAGCTTTGATTTTGATTTTGTTGATTCTGCACTACTGCCTTCAGGAGTTTATTGTAATGTCAATTCCATGGATCAACTTGCCTGGGATTAAATGCGTGTTAGGCTCTAAATTCATTCCATCTATCTCATACTAGCCAGCAACAAAGTATTTTTTTCATATATACCCACGTTTATACATGAAAATAATCCAATATACTGAACTACTTGATTTAAAACGCTTAATTTTGCACCAAAACTCTCCGCCCCACTCGTTTTCATTTCTTTATCAGTAAATTTAAAGTTTTTAACCAGTTGGTGAGAGAATTATGTAAAAAATTGGTAATATGTGGTGTTTCAAGATGAAGTGCTTGTCGGATAAACTTTACTAAAGTTTTATCAGCTTTTCAACTGATCAAACTTTAATATTAATCACACATTCCATGACACCAACACTTTACGTTACCTTATCAAAATAAACTTTTATGAAAAACTTTGTCAAACAGCCCGAAAACTTTCTTCGTGCCTTAATATATATGTATCGTTGAACGTCGATTAATTTGGTAATGATATACAATTGTATATATCAAATGCACAGAAGAAAAAAAATTGCTAATGCATAATACATGAACAATATGAAGGGACAGTTATTTAGCCTAGAGTACTATTTCTTTATCTTAAAAAAATTTATTACAATCTAAACTTTTAGTACGATAAAGACTTTCTTATGCATGAAATTGCATTAAAGTATGATTTCTCTATTGTAAGAGATGGAAGACGTTCACGACTCACGGTGTCTTGACAAATAATCATTGTAAAAAATGTTCTTTACATAAAAAAAAAAAAAAAAAAGACGTGCTTATTGTACCGGGTGGGGGTTGACCGAACCCCCACTGACACCTCACAATAGAGGGGGTGGGTGGGATTTTTTATTAACATGGGGCCCATGGATGTTAGTGTATGTAACACTTCGGTAAAACCAATTCCGGTACAATTGGCTTTGCTGGAAAAAAAAAATGGTCGTCCAAATTGTCGTCGGAATATACCTCGAAAAGATGACGCCTGAGATTATTTGATTTGACCTTATTTTTCACCTTATAGATTTGGGCCGGGTAAGAGGAAGAAAATAATTAGCTTTATGTAAAAGCAGAAACAGAAAGCCCAATAGCTTTCAGTTGAGACTTGGGAATGTGAATTAGTCGAAGTCAGAGATATTTAGATGAAGAATAATGCCATGTTTCTCTTTGTCGTTTTCCAGCTATTTTTTGTTTTTAATTTCTCAAAACAGTGAAAACGCGTTCTCTATCTTATTTTCAAAAATGCTTTTTGAAAAATGAAAAAAAAATATATAACTAAAAACACAAAACAATGAAAACATCATTTTGTAAAATATAAACCCAAAACACGCTAAATTCACAAAACACACGAAATTCACAAAACACGCCAAATTG